CCCCCTCTCTCTCTCTCTCTCTCTCTCTCTCTCTCTCTCTCTCTCTCGCTCTTCACAAGGAATATTGACTTTATATATTTACAAGGAACCTGTATTTATTGCGGGTTCTCTTTCATGCCGGCCTGGACCATATAGATATATGCATACATATAAGTTCCTAGTGCAATATATGTATATATATATAGTGAATCAATAAAGAATGTTGTTCACTGGAAGAATTACTCGTTACAATTTTATAATTTATTTCCAGAATTGTCATTGCGCAAGAGAATATATTTTTATTTTTTTACAGGACTTAATATACACCTATTCAAAAGCATTTATCGCGGATAGTCAACGATCTGAATTTGTTAGTAACGTTTAAAAGAAAAAAAGTGGCAAGTCGACGTTAACGAAATGTCGAGTTTCGTGATTGCGTTCTTAAAAAAAACCATGGCCGGGCACGAATATTCCCTACGGCAGAAAACGACGGCGGGATCGATGCGAACTTCGTATAACTTTCTCAGACTTTGACAATATCTTGGGAGAGAAGAGAGAGTAGCGCGGGAATTGAAGTCGGAATTGAAATGCTCGATAAAAGGAGGGTATCGCCCCGACCGGGCGTAATTGCGGGGATTTCGACGTCGGCGTCCAATTAGGAATTGCGCGGTTTTGCGTTTCTTTCATTCCACGTTGTTCGTACGGCTTAACCCAGTCCAGTGTATAAAAGGGCGACGTTGCATACAGAGAAAATATACAAGCATCGGTCTCCGAATAAAATAACACTCGCCACGAAGTTTAGCAGTTATTAATACAGTTTTCTGTAGCGATGTGTTACGTGCTCGGGTTAGCAATAATGGCGGACGGGAGACGCGTGCACGCTCGAGAGTCCAGAGCGATTAGGTAGGAACGTAGGATTTCAGTGTTGGTTGGCCTAGAAAAGCAGCAACTCCAGCTCGGACCGCGTTATAGAAGCCTAATTGCTAATTAGTAATTAGTAGGTACCCGACACTACGAACAGAAGACTTGCTACTGCAACGAGTAACCTACATAATGCCAACCGAGACGAATTCCTAAAACCAAAGAACATAGTAAAAAAAAAAAAAGTCATCCTATACACGGTGGTCATAATTTTAGTATCACTTCGAATAATAATCCACGAGGTCCTGTTATGAATCCAAATGTCAATTTGTTTTGCATCCGACGCGGGGTGACTTTTCTGAAAGGAGGAAAGATTAAGGATGAATCAGACGCAAGAAAAGAAGAAAAAAAAAAGATGAAGACGTTAAGTAAACGCAGGGAAGGATGCAGCGCGCATTTAAAGTTACCCCCGACATCCGTTCCTCTCCACGGATTTACCATGAAGAATTCGTGTCTTGTCCGCGGCATACGAAATGTTCTGCAGCACTTAACTAACGTCGTCCATCTTGGTATACGTGCAAGAACGCAATGTCTCCTCGTGGGCTTTTCAATTATTTACCAGCAGCTACGTAGCACTGTAAATATCACTAGGTATTTATTTATCGCAGCTTTTTTTGTTTCCATACCGAGAGATAATTATATATATTTGTCGTTTCAAAGTATCTACCATGTCTGGCAAAGTTCGGCGTTCGTCAACCTAACCTAAACACCGACGGATCGTACGAATCCAGTTACTTCCGACTTAACGAAGAGTTTCCATTTGACAGTACTTGAGTACGTAACCGAAAAATTGTCCACAGTACAGCACAGGACTGTGGACATGCATTAAAAACGCATTAAGGCCGCGTTGGCTTAACGCGACTTTTCTGTAGAAATAGTTGGCTTCCTTTTTCTAGCTTTACTTGTTTCTCTTTTTATCCCTATTATTTATATATGTATATATGTATATTTCTTATACGTCTGATAATTCCACGAGTACACACCGATCCACGCAGCACCTTCGGCCATGCAGATTCCTAAAGAGCCGAAGTAAATTGCTAAATAAGTATCCTAAGTACTGAAGCGCTCCACCGAGGCGCTGCAATAGCTGCCACCATAGACGATCATCAATCAAGTAACGTAAGAGTAGGAGAATACGGAGTCGGTGGTTGGTATGCGCGTAAGGAATTCAGTAAAAAGTATCTTAAATCCATGAGACTAAAGTCACGAATGATTTAGCAGTAACGCAAGGACGACATGTCAATTCGCAAGTCTGGCAGGAGATAGAGAAAAAAAAAAGGAAACGCAGAGAAACGACGCAGCGCCGGAAGTGTCGAGTAACTTTGACAAGTGAACCAGGAGATTGTACGTGGACGTAAAGTTAAGGACAAAAAAGTTCTTCCTGTACCACCCGGTATATAGATGTATCCTATCGATACCTTGGTACAAGACATAACCTACCCATGGTATATACTGTATCTAAGTACACCGTAACCCACGTACGTATAACTATATATAATTCAAGTACGCAAGCTGGTAGGTATCGATGATGTAAGAGTTCCGTGTTCCCTGGCGCGTACTTTGCTATAGTAAAATACGTAGGATCTAGATGTCTATCTACAGCGTGGTACAAGTCGATCGGTAGATCCCATAAATCTATAGTGTCTGCCGAAGCCTGACGTCCTTGTGGCTTTGGCCACTCTGTACGGAGTTTACTTGCCCCTACTGACAGACTTATTCACGCTGTATACCCTGACACTGCGTCAGACTGTAGTACAGTGTTACACAGTATACTGTGTTTTATAGGTATAGTGTAAAGAATATGGTATGCTGTACGCTACCGTCGCTCGTAACGCCGCATCCGTTTCTGACGCGCATATCGTTACGGGATTGTACGATACGTGAAATCCATATGGTAAATATGCATTGGAATAATACGCATGGCACGTTCCTTGATTCTGGTATAAAATAGCTAGAAGAAAGAGAAAAAAAAAGATGGCTACATAACGGAAGTTTATGGGGATTCGTATAGCTCTTAGATTATAGGGAAGAAAAGAATTACTAGTTAATAATGGATTAGCGATCTTAGCCCGAGGGTTTGGGAACTAATGGTAAAGGAGATCGGCTTGTTACCATCTTTTGCTACTGTTATTAATGTCTGGCTGGAATCGTAGAATATTTCATTGTAATAGAAAAAAATGACGTGGCACCTGTAGCCTGGTAGTTTGTTTAATAAGAGGCAGGGCTTGGCCGTAGTGGCATTTTTTTTAAGGGAAGTTAAAATTCACGCCCCGTTATGCTCTGTTCATTGCGAAACACGTTATTGCCTCGGGGGGTATCTGGTGTTTCTTTGCGAATTTATCTCTTTTCTCGCGTTCCTTAAGATTCCTCGGTTTTTTTTTTAATACGGCAATCTTGGCGACACGTGCTACGGAGGTGAATTCGCGTTCGATATATATGGTGTAGATACAGTTGACGGTAGTTGGGAACATTGTTGGCAACAATGCTGTTTGCTACGTGACGAACGCATTTTTCGTGCTAATCGTAAATAACAGGAACAATATGGCGGCGCACTACGCTTAAGGCTATTTCGTTTTAGCTCCGCGAGTCAGGCATATGTTAAATGTCCTTAGCCATTATTTCATGGAAAATTAGAACGTTGAAATTTGTAACAAACGAAAATAAAAAAAGTGTCCTGGTTTAACCTGACCACACACCCCGTTTATATAGTCGGGCATAAAAACATTCTATACCACAGAAGCCCTTAGTGCGGTTGCCAACTTGAGTAACAGTTCAAATTGCGAATGACGTGGCAGCTTGTTAACGTTTGATTTTGTAAAGAAAAGTTCGGTCAGACTTTCCGCGTGGATTTTTTCTGATAAAAATATTACCGGAATATCTCGCTGGGCACGTAAAACGTCAAATTTCGTACTGTGAAAATGAGGCTTGAAGCGTTAAGAAAAAAGTGTTAGAACATAATGAGCATCTAGGGGAATATTAAGGTAACAGTTGCGCAACGACGTAGTCTAGGCAAATTTGCAATTAAGCCGCTGCGGTTCTTCGCGATTTTAATTACTACGTAACAATTGCCGTCGACCTTCATGAATAATACGAATATACAATTAGCATCTGTATCTCATGCGCGAGATAAATAATACAAGTGATTTGTATCCTTCCTTCGGTTAAAGTGACTGTATACTTTGTATGCTAAATCTTTCTCCCTATTGATCAGCAATAATCATTCCCGATTCATCCAATTGGTTCTGCAAATTGGTCGGTTCCGTAATTCATTTTCATTTTCTCGTTATCCTCAATTTACAAGTAAATAGGTGCATTCCGTTTCACCTGACTTCGTAGCACGTCAGTGACGTCGCGTAGGCAGCTAACATAACTATACATATAGATATTACACATATATATACGCCCAGGACGTCTATCCCGTTTTCTCTATTTAACCAGTATTAATTACGATAATGATAAAATACATCGGCGAGCCTTTCCGCGTGCCTACTTTTCCACCGAGCATCGAGATACTCGGGTACTGATTAACCCTGCCAAGCATACTAATACGTGTTTCATACTATTCCGTACCTGCATTTCAGGAATAAACGCTAGTCAGCCATCTCCGCCTACGTTGGCCGTCCACATTTATGATTTCTAGTGACAAATATTTCGTATGAAATATATCATTCGATTAAAGTCCACACGCTGGTACACCACGAAAAAATTGAATTCAGTAGCACTTTCATTAAAATACTATACACAGTTGTTTTATTACTTACACTCAAGCACATAATCCAATCCGCCAATCATTGTGCGTACGCATTTAGACGAGCACGCACGACACGAGTTTGTTAAAGTATTCATGAAAATAAAAGTGTACAACCAACGTGAAAGTTTTGCCCGGGCACTAACGGTATTTACATGACAAGGCGACGACGTCGTACTTATACGCCTTGTACCTTTAATAGCTACGTCAGTGAGTTCTTCGTTTTGTACATATAAATAGAAACACATATCGACGTTGTACAACACGATTTGTCTGACGCAGAAGAAAAGTCTCCGAGACCCAAGCGCAATTTGTTTAGTCTACGCGGCGGATGAGCTGCGGGTAGCAGCTAACGGCTACAAGCGCCCGAGCAAACAGTAACCCGGCGTGTCTGAGCCCGGCGGTTAGGTTAGAAAAATTGTACTGTGGACATGGTCTGATAAACCGGCGGCAACGTCGTTTTGGTGAAAACGCGACGGAACTTTATATGGATACTTGTTGGAGACTCGTTGGATTAACATTAAAATTTAACATTCTACAGAATTAACGTCAATTAATACGATACGATTAAATTATACCTTGCTCTCCCAATGTGTACGTCAATAGTGTCTGGTTGGTTTTTTTCCAGTTCGTTTCGACAGACACATTAATTAGATTGTGATATGGATATTCAGTATAAATAGGAAAGCGTCTTTCTTTGATTTTATACAGACATAATAAATCGTGCCGTTTCTCGATACTTTTCTATCTGCCAATCGTGGTCACGTAGATAAAGCAGAGATTGAATTTATCGACGATACTAATTCACTGATTAGTCTAGTTTAACGTCGGATCCTATGGAACGTCTCGTTTCTTTAGATTGTTCAGAAGACAGGTACGGGACTTTCAATAGGGACTTGACTACGATCTCGTTACGCCCCTCGTGTATCGTTCTTATTGAGAATCCATCGAGTGCTAACCGTGATTGTTAAAGAATTAGTCGATATCCAATGTAGTCAATAAATAACGGATTAACGGAACGCTTCGTGATGATCGCTCTAGTTTCTAAGCTGACGTATACATACTGCCTTCTATACTCGGCTTCCTACGCAAAAGAACCGATCTCATTTCGTTACGATTCCTACGTGTTCTGTTTTGATAGATGATGCTGTTATTATTATTCATACTAATACTCGTTATACGTGCTATGCATGTTACGCTGTGTTTTTTTCTGTGTCCGACGGCAACTTCAGGCACGTATACAATATACATACCGAGACCGTTTATGGGACAATCCCTATTGCCATGAAATACTACAAAGGCGTGAAGTTGCCGCTTAACAGGAAATTCTAGTGATATTGTGTATGTATACATATATATTTGTATATACGTGTATATTTATTTCAGTGAAATATCGTATGAAAAAGAAATAATAAGATCGGTACAGATGGCGCAACAGACATAAAGATTGGGAATCGTTTATGGGATCATCCAGTGAAATCATTACCTTGCTGGTAGTCATCGTAAAATGGCGGAACTTCCCTGGAGCATTAAGTTCGTCGACTCGTTAAGAAGCTGCGCGGTCACTCCGTGTTTTGCAAGACTACGAAAAGTATGCTGATTGGTCCCGTAACTATCCTCGCGGCTGTTTCGTCAATTCTCAATTCGTTTTCAGCCATGACGGGATTTCATTGAGGTAAAGTTAATGATTTCATCTTGTATCTTTCATGATAACTAGTTGTGGTCTGTATTCGTTAATATTCCTCGTGCAATTGCGACATTACTGATTTTACTTAATTTATCCCTTCCTCTATTTAGTGGACGGTATTAAATATTATCGACCCAGCAACGTCCGTGGTAAAGTCTGTTACTAATTCTGCTAAAGCAATTCTACTCGCTTGCAAATACATGGAAAACGTATCGCGTGGATTCTTCAACGGTTCGTGGAAATTTCCAGTTTCGCCAGTCGTGCGAGACCGTAACGAATTTTTATACAGATACCGACGGAGCACGATTTGAAATCCAACATGGAATTGTCCACGTGAGATACATTTGATTATAAGTATTTTTCTTTTCTTTTCTTTTAAACATGCCTCTTACGATTCTAGGGAATTGTATGGCTCCTGGTGGTCCTCGAAGGAAGATGAGTTCATCGTGCTGAGCAGGAGTGACCTAGATAAATAATGGCTGGCTGTCAGAGGGAAACAGAGTTCAATCGATCTGCCATACGAAGCAGAACTGTTAAGAAATGCGATACGTGGGTAGATGACAAGATCCGATGCGATCGGATAACGTTCGATTGACGGGAAGGCAAAAGATGACTGTTGCACAAGAAAAAAAAAAAGTGAATATATAAAGCAACAAAAAAATGGTTGGTCGATGATACGATAATGGAAGAATTTTTTTTACCACCATATACACGTCAGATGAATCCACCTTGCATCTCGAAGTGATTTAAAAGTAGAAAGTAAAACAAAAATGGCGTTCTAATGTCCCTATCGACCGCGAATGTCTCCTTATTGACCATATAAGTTGGCAACGTTATTGCCAGTGCATTACAATAGTGGCTCGTTAACACGCGACTGTTAATGACCCACCGTATACCTACGCTTCATGAAACTCGACACGAGCGACGATTAAGATTTTATTTTGGGATTCTATCGCGCACAAAAGTCGAACACCTAACGGTGAGATCGTTTGACAAGAAAGAGATTCTTCCAGCGTTAATTCTCTCGACTGACCATGCACAAGCATACGTTTCTAAACGGACTTAGGCAAGGCTCATTGCCGCTCAATGAAAATATCTAAGTAGGCTTAAGCTCAGCTCACTTAACGTATCCGATCGTTATACCGAACCGACTATGGAAATTTGTTAGCAAAATGATCAAAAACACTTCTGCGTGTAATATAGCGATAAAAAGATATCCTGTTCGACGCCTATTATCTTTTGAACATTTTCCAAGACGTCCGGCGTCGTTTAACGAAACCGATTAAATTTTACGACGGAAACGACCTAAAAACGTCACGCATCGATCAGTGCTCTATTGAAGAATAATTTTAAGCCTCGATCTTACCAGCACTCGTATCCTTATATACGTGTATACCTAAGACAGCAGGAAATAGGTGGGATTGCTTCTTCTGTTTTGTTCGCAATGATCTCTTTGCTCTCGCGCGAACCCAATCGAGTGGGTAGGTGGGTACGTAGGTGCTCGTAGGATCAGGCGCAACTTTGAAGATTCCAATTAATTTAATTGACCGTAGTCACGGCGGTCGGACACATACGGGACGCAAGGCAGATTATCAGCGGGCAATTGAATGCGGGCTCGGTGCAACCAAGGGATAACGTGTCAGGTACATGCATACCTACGTATCTATATAGGTACATAGCCTATTTACTAGATAACTGACAGAAACGAAACGATAGCAGCGGTCCCAATGTTGCGCAAACCAGCAGTCCGCCTACATAGCCTGAAGCTGTCATGACTCTCATAGCTACATAGGCATTATATGTCCAACCATTGCCTTGTGTATATATATATATTATATATATATACACAAAGATACCGTACAAACCCGACCATTACGTATATATAAAATTTTCTATACGTACGTTACATATACCTATAGTTACATATACCTATACGTACATAAAACTCGTAAGACCCTCCTAGCAATGACTTTACCAGATATAAAGGCAGGCAGGTAAGGTATAGAGAATAGGTTGGTACCCATTCTACGAAACTGGCGCGGTGATTTAATCATTATCGGCAATCTTGTTGCTGCCAACAAAAAAAAAATCTGGGTCAGCTCCACTTCCAGTTCACTTTTGAAGCCACCGCGAGTCAACGGCTGCGTAAAAGGGTTGCTCTCTTAAGACACGTACCCCGTACGATTTATTTTGAATAATTGAAAACCTCGAACGAAATTCGAATTCAAAGGTGGTTTTGGTCCAGAAAAATTTTTAGACGGCGGATAACGTTATGGTGATTAGACGATTAGAAAACCAAACTTGATTCACATATTTTGGTATCTGTTATTTTTAATGCCTACGCTAATCTCCTTTACATACATATCTTTTCTTATTTCGTAACGGTAGTAAATATCTCTCGGCCCTAAATATATTCGGGTAGCGTCAATGCGACGATCGAAGTCTGACCAATTACTATCTTCGATTCATCACAACCAGGCGTTAAAGTTTTCGTCTTTGATGTCAGATGCTTTTACAATCGTTCGTGTCTCGAGGCTACTGTATATTATATATATATATGTATATATGTATATATGCCGACGGAACCCCGTAATTTTCGATTCAACCGAAAATCCTCGCGGTGTGTCATTTTCGAAAGTCTCGTGGATTCGTGTCAAAATACTCAGCCGATCATTGAGAGTCGGAACGTACATTTTCAGGAATGTCGGTATAAGAACGGTCAGTTTGAAATTTGGTTACCCGTATACTTACACGGCCGACTAATTAGCGTGGCAAATAGGTGGAAATGAATTTAATGTATTCAAGTACCCGCGATTGCCCAAGAGTATTTCGACAATGTTTGCCCTCTTGAACTTTCTTTCATCGGTCCGAAAATTTCTTTGAAATTCTATTGGCTTCGAATCCGAGTGAGCTTTTCATGAATAATTGCAAATAATTATTGCGCAACTATTTGCAGTCATTGTTTCCTTTAGTGCTTATAATGTAATCTCGAATTGTCTGTTTATGGTAACTCCAATGGAAACGACACGGAACGTTAGCCAGAGTGGTTATTACGTTTGCGGTATGTATATTTGCACCGAGTGCTTTCAGCAACATTGTCCATGTTTACGCGATACAGTTACGACTTTGTCAATTCGATCGAAGCGAACATTTAGATTGTCAGATGGTTAAGTTGGCAATGGGCCATAACTGCAAAGTGTCATATAAATATTGCATAATTCTCTCGGACGATATGAATTATCCTTTATCGTAAAACGGCACGATATAACGTTGCAAATTAATTGGACCTCTTATCAAATTATATTTGACAGCTAATGACACGTGGTACGGTGCGCCTATTTTATACCTATAAAACGTCAATTTTTATACCGAGTTTACAATCGACTTTTATCGCCAGCGATCACTCCCGTGCGCTACTGTCTGCCTGTAATGACTGTTACGCTATTCCTTCCGTGGTCGCTACGTGGAAACGGGCTACAAGGTGGAAACTAGACGAGAGAGCTCCAAGTGGGTCCTCCTAAGTAGGTCATGAAAAGGAACCACGAAATGAGATTCGCTCTCACGTGATTCACGCGAGAGACCGGAAGCGCGTAAATCGCCTCATTTTGGAGAATCGAATTACGCATCCTTGGGACTTCAAATTTAGACACCTAACATCCTTCACGGGTATCTCGCCTGGGATAGTACTGATAATTCTCATTAACGTGAGACTGGAGATTCATTTGCGTTGAATAAAGTTAACAAAGTATTCTCTTGCTTCGTGTCATTGTTCAATTAGATATCAACGAGGAACTTTTTTATAATTTTTTTTTTCGACCAATTTTTTTATCTTTGTACCTTTACGTCAGATTTGAAAATTACGAAAAGATCGAATTTCGTATGAAAATTTTTTAAAAAATTCTTGCAATTACAGTAACATTTTTTCACGTACCAGTCATTTTCTCGGTATATGTATATTAAATTCTAGTCCATTAAGGACTCTATAGGGTAACCTATAAATAAGCATTGTAAACGACTAGTCTGTGGGTATGGTGAATCAATGAGTAGGTATAGCACTTGGTATATGCTCATTCTCAGGTTGGCGATGCACGCGTTCTCTATTAGCCGCAAGCGTCGAGGATGTCAGCAGAACACGAACTGTTGGTCGCATGCAACTGTATGCACTCGAATGCAATTACGCACGTGCATCTTGGATTCCCTATTGGTCAGCAAGGTGTTGCCAACTTTAGTATAGAGTCGAGTACGGCTTCTGCACTGGGTCAGTATACCTGGTCTGCACCTATGCTATTCTGTAATAGTCCAGTCTGGTCTAGGCCCGGTATTACTATACTGTTGAGAATCGCTAAGACTACCAGCTGCAAAATTTCTCCTCTGGTGTCGCTCGAGCAAAACCTGCCCTAAGCTCGTACATCGATTCTCGACTGCATCCGTAGTATGCATTCCTACTGAACGTCGATGTAAAAAATTTTTTTTTTTCAAAATTCAAACGCGTATAAAAAATGTCTTTTTTTTTTCTTTTTTCAATAAAACAGAGCAATTTCAATTATATATAATTAATTTTTTACGCATTCATTATTTATTACACAATCTCACTCCTTATCTACATACCCGCATGCGTATGCAAAGGTTACCGAACTATGTAGTTTCCATGTCGTTATGGAAAATATAGGATATTACGTAACCGCGAACACGCACAAGCCTTAAAGGATACTGCGATGCCATCGACCTAATAAACACTAGAGCCGAAGATATCAATTTTACGCCTTGATCCAATTCAAATTCATAGTAAGAATCACTTTTGACTGATTCAATATAATTAACATTACAATAGCGAAGCAACAGTAATTATAATTATATAAAGTCAATTAAAATATTTTTTTTTATCATAAATCAAACTTCATCCTCGATAAGAGGACCGCTGAATATCGAATAATAAAAATGGAAAAGTTCACTAAAAAAGTTAACTCAAATTTTTTTATTTTTTTTTTTTTTATCACGGATAAATAACTCATGATTACTGATACGCGATAAACGAGTGAAAGCATTTATTAAATTAATTAGAAACAATTAATTAGCCATTAAGGTAATCTCTTGTCGTCTAAATTTTTTTTTTCCCCTTTAGTCACACTCTTTGCTAACGACGCCGATATTACGCGAGAAAATAAGCTGCATCCGATCTCGCCTTATATACCCGCCGTAAGGTAATGACCGTCATTTGCTTTATGAAACACGAGTATATTTTTTTTTCTGCGGAACTATTACGGAATCCTACTTAAGATCGTAGCACACTGTGTATAAGCTATAACTCACACCTTGGACTGTACATATATATATATGACACTTATGTCTCTTGATTACATCGATAGAATCAATATTGATAGCTAACACCACAAAACGGTAACACGCGTACCAACTTGCGTAAATATGGAAAAAAATTTTGTGCGGATAAAAAAAAAGTGCAATACAACAAAAGTGGTATCGCATAAAAAATTCAATTTTTTTTCCCATTCAACTATACTGGAAAAAAAAATTCCTCGAAATCTCTCAAAAAATTAACTCGACGCCAAATCATCTTATATTTTCTTTTTCTTTATCTCCTTAACAGCTGGCTACAAGTTTCGGTGCAGGAGCGTGGAAATTGTTATGTTAACCCATAAAGGATGGATGCAGCCCAGGGCAAGGGAATAGAAAATAGCAGGAAGTTAGCCGATGCCAGCCAAAACAAAGGAAACCACCAAATGAGAAAGATATGCATCTGTAAGCGTGGGATCTGCGTACCAAGACTGAGTAAGGGAGCTAAGAGTGAGTATACCGTATGCATATACATATATATATATATATATAGTATACATATATATACATCCTCTAGGATGTAGGCCGGTGTAAGCAGTGTAATATACAAATTGCGTACGAAGTCAAAGTGACGTGGGTATAACGTCAGCATGAATTTTTTTTTTATACGTTAAATAGCGAATTTAGGTGATATCCAGGAAAGAGGTGATGGGTGAGGATAAAGATGCGTCGATACCATTGCCAGTAAAGGAATCGACGAAATGACGTCGACAAATGATTGTGTGCTCTGGTTCTTTCTGACGCACCGCATAGTCGATGATCGCCCTTTGCCATGGCGTTAGGTATGCCGGACTGTACTGTGATATACGGATATATATTGGTATATACCTTGAGTAAGTAATACCTTCCCGCGCTTATTTTGAAAAGGTATAAAACGAGCGGATGAAACCAATAACCTCAATAGAGTCGTATATACCTATATCTAGTGTTTGACTTCACGAGTGCAAGATCCACGAGCTAACCGATTGGTAGAAAGCTGTGACTAAGAGACCAAGTGGGAATACAACGTGTCTATGGATATCCTACGCGAATACTAAAATCCTATAGCGATAAGAACGAAGTAAGATCCTTGGAGTAAATAGAGGTTGGTGGAACGTTGTGGCAAAAAAAATCAGACAGTACCAACATTAGCAGAACCGAAGACCGAGTGATCCTTAAAAATGTTGTATACGTGAAAAGTTTTATTTTTTATTTTTTTGTTTTTTGAATACGAAGATTCATTTTTTTTTCTCCTTTTTCCTCAGCCAATGCACACGAGGAACAAGGAGAAATTCCGCGAGAGTCGGCCTTTACGGTGATGATCTCACGTCTTTGGTCGCGTAGTGTCGCTGGTTTGTTTTTCTTTTTTTTTTGTCTCGAAAAAAAAAAGAACTCCGTAAGAAAAGACTTGGCTAATAGTCCTTTTTTTTTTTTTTTCATTGGAATCAAGCGGATTCACTTGCAGCCAGTTTAGATAAGCCCGACAATGAATTACCCGAACCTGTCCTGTCGCAAACGTTTCTTCCCACCCTGTGTATTCGCTGCACCTACTTGGATTAACGTATAATATTTCTGTATACTAAATCTGTATGGGTAAGACAGGTTCTCTAGCATGGCGCGATACCCCGGGATACTCTGACATTTGCTGGGTTGATAGCCGAGTGGTTCACCTATAGGAGAAGCCGTAAGACTGACTAGAGTCTGCATTTTATACTATTGGGATATAGTATATAGGTATACCAAGTGGAAGTATAGCTGTTGCAACAAGGCACCATATGTTAGTCCGAATTACTTGGCAAGGCTTTATTACTTTTTTTTGGACTTTGGGTCATGTCGGGCGTAATAATTCTGAAGAAAAAAAATTTGCAATTATTTATACTGACGGTTGTTACGTTGAAAAAATTTTCACAATTTTTTTTTTCGACGTTTTCAAAATTTTTTTTTTTCACGTCTGACAACGTAACGATTTTACACATTTTTTTTTGGTACGTTTGTCGAAAAAATTTTTAATATCTCAACTGTCTCGTCTTTAGCTAAAAATCTAGATGTAATGAGTTTTCGAGAGTTTTGACCGGCACATTCCAATTACTCCACGTTCCAATTACCCTCGTTTCTCCCTAATAGCGCGCTTCCACGTCACGGGATACCCGTGACCTATTTAATCCTAGTAAATTGATGTACTCCTTTGAGCTATGGCCTTAGGATATTTTTGAGGTGGAAGAATTTTGGTGACAAAAACAAAAAGTCAGATTAACGAGAGCGCTCGTTATTTTTGGATTGAATAATTTTTTTTTCGAATCGTATATACGTACAGTTGAGTGGCTTAAGGGATATTGTTAATTCGCAGTCACCCTGTATAAAACATATATCACTGGCTGCTATTAAGACGAATTTCTAAAAAGACAATGGATACTAAAAGCCATATAAGCTTAATCCCGATTACGCGATCTCGTATAAAATTTCACTGTATTCAATTTACCCGCTTTACATTGTTACACACAAATCAAGCGGAATAAGATAAATTCGATTGGATGAGATATTTTCTCTGGGAAAGCCATTTCGCAATGGTATCCTGTTTTCGCATCGCGCGGTCGAGAGTTCAAGTAGCTTGGATGAAGTCGATCAAGAGTCAGATAGATATAGAAGTAAGTGTATATGGTATGCATGGATGTACAGTAGGTTTAGAAATTTAAAGACCTTAACTCGAGCCAAAGTCAAAATTTAGAACTACGACGATTACGGCATGGCGATGCTTTGTACGTTGAAACTGGTCTTGGAGAGAAATTTGTACTGCGCCCGATACCGTTGCGCTTTTTCTCACCTGATTTCAGAACGTTTACCAGCGCCCGAGCGAATTACCCGTTAAAATATGGAATTTGAATAGACTCATATACTCGACTCGATCCAACCGGAGTCGAATTGACCCGATAGCGAGTCACTTGCAATTTATTTTTTTGAATCGATCGAAATGGACGTTATTTCTGCTGACCCCATTATATACGTAAAAGTAACGAATCGTTGGAGTTTAGATGTAGGGATTATATATCTGTATAGTATGTATATGATATATATATATATATATATATATATATATATATATATATATATATATATATATATATATATATATATATATATATATATATATATATATATATATATATATATATATATATACTGCTTCCAATGGTTATTGCATTCGCGACTGCGATTCTAAAGTTAATTAATACTGTATAACGGTCGCGGGCCGTGGTCACTAGGAATTTTAGCCAATTATAATATCGCCATAGATATATATTGACGCACGCGAACTATTGCGAAAAAGCGAGCAGTGAGTCGTTTTGTGCGGGGACTATGATTTTTTTTCTTTGCAATTGTCGCGAAACGACTTAGGAGCATGCGAATAATTTTTTTGCGAAGAGTCCATCGGTACTCCTAATAATTAAGGTGACAATTGGATTTTATAAATTAGAATTTTTTTTCGTCCAAAAAAAAATTGTTCAGGCTACTTTTCAATTGAAATCGCGTCGAGTCGTATTGAGAATTATAAACTCGGCTTGATTCGTTCCAAGAGTCAAGCTGTTTCCTTGTATTTAAATCTATCGCGATTTTACATGACAAGTGGAAAATATTGAGAAATTTTTTTTTTTTTTCGCCCGGCGAAAGCTACGTCTTTACGAGTGGTAATAGACGTTTTACGTTTTAACGTGAAAAATACGACTCGATTTATTTATTGTAAATCCGTTGTTCGAGTATCGATCGTGATCGGTAAAATTTTGTGTTAAGGTGCACGATTATTTTTTTTTGTCACGTTATCACGTGATGGAAAAATTTTCGAGGCAAATAATACGAAAAACATTTGTTTAACAGAATTGCTTTCCTGCTGATTTCATTGTAACCTTGGTCGAAATTATTTTGAAATTCACATACGAATGTGGTGCTGGGTTAATGGGCATAATATTCTCTTCCTTTGATTCTGGCGCGTATATGTAAAACCAGCAACACACAAAACCGGCGATCCTCATTTATATACAATGAGGAAATTCACAGTGCGGCCGTAAGACACTGTCGTTATCTTAACCAAAAAATGTACCCCGAGGCCCCGAAGTATGGTATAAAAATGTTGTTTTTCGACATTTTTCACGTATCTACTAAATCAAGCCGAGCGTCAGAAAGAGCTGTCAAAAGTCCGCCAATGACAACGGCAACAGTGTGCACCATGACAGGAGTCACGTGAAACTCCGAAATAGCATCGAACCAAAAATCCGTCGATAAAAATAAGGATAAAATTTTGAAAATCAATAATCGATTCTCGATTCGATGAGAATAATCGCTAATAATGCCCCGACGTATCGGATTTCTCATTCACCGCAATTACGCAATCGCCGTGAAATAGTGCCTCAGTCCCATCCAAGAATAGTTCAGATTGTCTTCGGCTTAGCCACAGCATATTTTCACCCATATTACACCTCAGACATTTTCAAAAAGTACCACGTCAAAAAATTGCATACGAAGCTCATCCACGTAAAATTAATTCATCAGGATAGCATTAGAGTAAAAAAAAATCCTATATACCTACATAGAGAAAAAATATAAATTTGCCCCGTATAACTCATACAGAATGCCCTACGAGTACAGGACGTTTCATTATTCCTTTCGTGTTATAAAAGCACCAACGTTCGCCTCAATGCGTTTGAGCTGTACGTTGGCAGTGTGTAGCCATGCGTACAGAAGTTCCGGTTCCTGAGAGAGGGTTATACCAAAGCGCCCAAACGCTACGCTCCTGAAGATGATCCCACGTGAGTACTACGAGCCAGGGCCGATAATTGGTCCCAGTAGCAAATCCCAAACTCAGCGCGTTCCAAGCCCCAAATTAAACTAGCTCGTATCGCGTATTAAATGAATAAAAAATCCGCGATGCATAAGAAAAAAATTTTCAAAAATGAATGACACCCCAAAATTTTGTTTCCAGCACAAGAAGCATACCCCGCCACAATAAACATACACGGTGACCCATGCTTCCGCCTGACAATCGCCACCAAGATGCCGAAGTTGCACGTGGCCGTAAGTGAATAGCACAAAGAGACAGCCTAAATAAAGCCACGCAATAGAATATTCAAATGATAATAACAAACCTTAGTGAAATACGAAGATAAAGCCCGAGGATAACAGAGAAGGATAATTGGCTGAATTTCCGTAGTCGTGGATAACGTAGTCACGTAGAAATCTGAACGAGTGTTATCCTTCGTGGTGATCCTTGAATGAATATCGCGTCTCCGATAAAAAAAAACAACCAATGTAAAATCACTAAACGAGCCGCGTATACTAAAACGTGCAGTAAGGGTGGTCCCCCGTGTACAAGGAGGCACGTACCAGTGTCCAGCACTATGCACCCATACGTCCGGCCTAGTAGTCGGCTGACATGTCAAATATCCAATGGACGATAACGAAAAGACGATTCAGCAGTCGAATCCTCGTGGTAAACTCATCGCGGACACACGGCACACATTAAGTCAGTGAAATTCACTAGGCGACAGCCTCGTACTCGCGCACGGAGTAACGTAGCGCGCTACCAGATGTTAGAGACATTGGCTGGTCTTGCTCGCGGCCAGCCATGGAACGGCAACACTCTCACTGCCGGATGTCACGGTAGCAACGGATGATCCCGGTTCGTTAAGTTATTGAGAGCCGAGAGTAAAGTCCCTTCCGGTATCGAAGTTTCACAGCAGCGCAGGAGTTTCCGTCGGAGGTCGACGTTGACGTTTTGAAGGTGGGTTATCCAGTGGCTGCCAGGAAGTGCCGGCGCAGGAGTTCGGCGCGCACCACACGTTCTGGATACCACCTTGGGCTCTTCTACCGAGGTCCCGTCCAGGTAGGACTCTTAGGCACAGTCTAGGTTAGGTTCCGCAGGAGTGGGATAGTCCGCTGTCGACGACTACCGGTGGTATCCGCGGCTGCGGCTTCTGCCTCTTCACGCGCGTTGGACCTCGCGCTTACCCGGGATGACATTTATCTGTACACGTTGATTGGCAAGGCGCACACGCACTGCGACGATCCGTATTGTAGTCCGGCGGGCGCAAGAGTGCGAACGGCTTGCTCCTCGCCGAAGACAAAGTTGTCTCGGTACACGGAGCCGCGCTACGTAGGTAGAAGTATAAGGCAAGCAACACTGCCGTAATATCCCTGGCTATAGTGTACTCGCTTTAGGTTCCTATGGTACACGGTGATCTTGCACTTGTATTATAGAGTCGCGTAGTACCGGTACTGTAGTATATAAGCTGCGAGGTATATACTAGGTAGGTAGGTAGGTATGTATTTTGCCTGAGGCGACTCCAGGTATAGCGGTACTTCCATCCCTGCCACCTCCTCGGACCCCTTCCCAGGCCCAGCCACCTCCACGATTCCACTCTCGTGCTATATATCCACCCGTGACTCCTTCGGCGAGTGTGTGCCAGCGTGTGTGTATAAGGCCCCGGCTCGATACGTGTCGGCGGGTCCTATGCTCTATGGATAGCCAGGACTCCAAGGACGTAGCTATGCTTTTCGGGCCTCATACCCTGACACGAGGAACGACGCGCTGGCACGTCTCGCTCGGCGGAGACTTCGACGAGTGGGACTTGCTGGGTGAACGAGAGAGAGAGGGTGACTGGGTAGGGCCGACTGGAGGAAGCGAGAGGGAGAGAGTCTATGAGTATTGTCGTATGCGAGACGGAGCGCCTCTGTCGGCAGTCGAGTGTATCAATCGTGGAGACTTCAACCCTCGGATTTGCGTAGGCGATGTGGCTACGACCCTCGTATTACGATTCTGATACGAAAATAGAACTGACGCGACGAGACTAAACTCAAAGCTGTCTCAACGGCGATTCCCGATGCTTTTATTTATACGCGGTACTTGGTTGTCACCGATTTTTTTTTTTTTCAAAAATTTATTTTCCAATGAATTTTTATTTTTAGGCCTTTTTTTCAAAGGTGTCAAATTTTTTCGTTTTTCACACCTTATCAATATTTCGTAGATAGGGCGATACGTGATCCCCGCGTTTTTCACTCGTCGGCTGACGAATCTAGAGATTACCGGTAACGATGATAATAAATAACTCCGAACTGGTTAAAGTCGTACAGATTCGTCGCGTAGGTACTTGTACAAGTTACGCAGGGACTGTAGTCGGCGATCGCGATCATCGTGAGTTACCGGTCGCGATTAAATGTCAGCCGTCAATGCGAACTTGACGAATGACAGGGACCGGCCATCGGAGCCGTGCCGGGGCCCTCTAATTGGCATCGATCAGTGAGAAGTTAGCTAGACTCATCGAAGAAAGAGAAGCAAGGACGATCGGATAGGCAAAAATAGAAAAAGAAAAAAAAAAAAAAGTCCTGGTCGACGAAGTGCAGAGAACGCAATGATAAAAAATAATTCAAACATGAATCAAAGATTCGACTAAGGTATAAAATGAAAAATTCTTGGGGTCCTTGCGGACCCCAAATTTCGGGCTTCTCACGCGCCTGCACGCTACCAAGAGCAACAGGTGAGTCCGTCATTGGACGGGGACGGACGTTCTATAGTCTACGATCTACAGTCTACCCGGTGGAGAGCCAATCAGAAAGCGAGACCTACATATGACTCCCTTCCTCTGCGGAACATCCGCTACGTCAGCCTCGGTCTAAGTTCCGGTACCGTTAGTCAGTCTGTTACAACGTCCACGATGGAACTCTAGCCGAGTGGACGTTACTCACAGCTAGGTAGGTAGGTATCTCGCGTAGTCAGCCAAGATCCTAAAGATCGTTCATCTTTTTTTTCCCTCTTCCTCGTCGTCCTTTCTTCTTTTTCTTTTCTTTATTTTCGTAACTTTGTTTCTTTTCCTTTTTTTTTCTCTCTCTCTCTCTCTCTCTTTTTTTTTTTTTAATTCTTCTCCATTTTTATTCCGAGGCTATTTCTCCATGCCTCGCTGACTTGCTTAGGATCTTAGTCTCCTTGTCCCTGTGTGCACCAGGCGCACACTCCTTTAACACTGTAATAATCTATCACTGTGTCTCATCCGTGCGGAGTTATAATAAATATACTATACCATCGCGACTATACTACATTTATGTATGCGTGACAGGCGCTCTCGTATGAACGCGACTTTATACGCGGGTCCCGACCGTATCGCTGGTCAGTATGTGGGGTTAGTCCGATGGGCTAATGTGTACAACCTGTTCATGTCGTATCGACCAATCTGCGAGACCCAAAGAGTGGCTCTACCTGCCGATAATTCATTTCTTCATGTCTACGTGAATATAGGTTAAAGCCGTTGTAAAAATGGCTTTACGTTCCGAGTCTACCTTCGTGTGTACGAGCCTGCACCCGTTGGTATACTCCAGAAGGCAGGTTAGGTAGGCCGGTACAGTCTGCTCTGAATATTCGTTACAGGATTAAAGCGGCACCATATAAATATATACACACATATTTTACCTTTGTCAGATGGGGGTTGGACCAGTTCGACATATTTTTAACCAAGAATAATGCCCGGCACTTGAGTCCATTAACGATATTTATCGGCAGCAGGGAGTGTATCGCGCCCCGGAGATCGGACGGATGAATTTAATTATAATTTATAACGTATTTTCACTGCTCCTCGAGTTTTGCGCTTTATTCGATCGCAGGTGCCACGTGGACCCGTCCATACGGTCCGGACGCACCGGAGACCAGAAGTCGATGGAGTTTACAGGAGGTTCGATCTGTCAGACGTGACAAAATATAAAGGCGCTACCAGTACCCGTCTCGTGGCTTAATGAACGCCGGTAATTTAATTGATGGCGCGCAACGCTTCGTGTGAATCGACCGAGCTCAGAGTCGGCGACACGAATTAACCGTTACGACTATTTTGTTCGGGACGCAGTATGAATCTGTGGTGAAAAAAAAAAAAAAAAATAATTAAACTGTTTATAGGATGCCCCCCTAGGATATCCGAGGGAGTAACGTTTATTCATTAGCAGGACTAATCGCAGTGGCACGAAACGTTTAATCATCCTCTGGCACGAGGATTGGATTAATTTAATTTTTTCTTAAAGCTCGCCGTCATTCTTTTGCTTTTGTCTCGATCGGCGTAGATCGGCTAGACGTAGCGATTATTGAATTTTTCATCGATCGAACAAAAAGTTTATACGTTACACTTGAGAACGTATTTACAAGCAATAAGTTGCACGGAGGATCCATGAGAATAAATTTTGGACGATCATCGAAATACTAACAAAGAAAATACCGATGCAGGACCAAGAACTGCGAGCTGACGAAAAAGAAAGGGAAGACGGTCACGGCTTTGCCAGTAGCTCGCGAGTACGTCTTTCCTCGTTATTTGTTTATCCACATTCCGTAACGCTGAGAAATTTGGAATTCTCCCATCAACCAAGAATATTACGAATGACAGTGATCGATATGAAAATTTCTAAGCGAGGCTTTGCATAATTTCGAATTTATATTTCAAATATTCCCGCCTTAGCTATTGGTCACCGGACGGGATTTCCCCTCGGTCTACGTAAGTGAAATTCACGTCGCGTCTCGCGATTCTAACGTGTTTTTCGAAACTCGATCGCGTTATCGAGATCTGTTAACATAAATTAGCATAGAAGTCGGTGGGGCATAGTTTATGAGAAATAAGTTTACTTAATAGCTACGACGTACGGACTATACGGGCTATCCGCGATACTCCGGCAGCGTATCTTCCGCATAAAGGGACGAGGTGGAAGAAAGCAGATGACTTATACGCGTGGATGCTGACCAGATAAGAATGCAACTGGAAATTTCAATGAGTCAAGGCGATCTAGTTCCCGATCGAGCGCCGTACAAATCGACCTGTCCTATCTTCGTACTTCTTTGAAATCCAATTAAATCGAATCGGGAAAGTATGGCAACTCACAATCGGTAGCGATGGCTCTCTCGCAGTCTGGCCAACCGAAGGTAACAGCTGCCACCGGTTGTCATCTATTTTACTCAATGGCTCCTTTTATTCTATCCCACCAGCCATCTGCCTACCGATCACGGTCGGTCGATCGATATCTCGAAATCGAATGATCCATACACATATATATATACATATCGGTAAGTTGGTACACTCGGATTCCCGGATATCCCAGGAGCCTCTCTTAGGACACGTCACGGCTATCAAAAATTAAAATGAACCGATCGTGACCCGATTCACGGTCAGTCACGAGCCCGGTCACGGGTCTCGAACCGATTCGTCGGAATCGTTCTTGCGTGCCGCGAACGCGCGTGAATTCGCGGCTTTGAGATCGCTAAGCAAGGACGCAGCTCAAGTGCACGGTACCGGACCAGCCAAAAAGGATCTCCCGAACAGGATCGGTACGTGGCCCGAAGGCACCCGAGGACAGTTTACAATAACAGGCGTACCTTACGAACTGTCCATGCTAGGGTGATCCCGCGTGAAATTGTCACGCTTCTAGCTTCGGCTCGTCCTCGATATAATCCTAGTGACTTTTGGTAATTTTTTTACTGCGACTCGCTGACCTATATGTTTAACATTTATATATAGGTACAGACTCGTACACACGTGACGCAGACTGGCAGCATCTTTGCATGCGGATACCGGAACGAGTTTGAATGGAGTCAGCTGGTAATGGCGGCGAATAAGAAAAGGAATAAAAAGATCCTGTACGACGTTGCCAGCGAGGAAGCCGCTTCCGTAAGTCGGTAGTCGGTCCGACGGCACGTTTACGGCTACTTACGAAATAAATTATTCGAAACGAGCATTGCCCCGAACCACCGAGATAAACTATCAAAATTTCTTGTGAAATACGACTAATTGGCCTGATTATCTCTCATGAATATTCACGCGTACCTATATCTGCCACTTATAGAATAACTATAGGCAGCTCGATCTATAGACGGTTCGACGTACTTGTATACGTGTTAATAGATATTGGCAACATACAGAGTAATGTACATTATGTATATAACATATTTACAGGATCAAATATATATATATATATACGTATATATATATATATATATTTTTTATCCACCTACTTAAAGGAGATCAGAAGGAGGAGATTTCTCAGGTTGGATCGTAAATATAATAAATGATCGATACTTATTTCATACCGATCGATTCGATCGATTTATCTTGGTTCCGTTAATTAAAAAATTTTAATCCTCAAAATTCGTTAGGATTCCTAGCGCGGCTCTGAATTCGACCTAACCTCAAAATTAGGTCTCTACGAACTCTACGGTGCTTCCAGCATCCGGGAAAATAGACGATCTTTACCGTTTAGCATAAATCAACGTTTACGCTCAACGTTTACTATCTATTGCCCCGGGTGAATCGTCCTCGAAGTAATCGTGAATTTACCCTTAAGCTTCCCCTTCGTCCCCTGGTACGATCCTCGGTGCGCCGAGACATCGTCAAATCCTTTCGCTGCGGTATTAACCTGTCTTCGTCTTATACCTTAATCCAGCCAGGCACGAGTTAGCCAAGACGAGTCCATGAGGTGTCTTGCGTGCCGCTAAAAAATTGCGGAAGTCCGTTTAAAATGTCATGGGTACGCAGCAAATAACAGTTTTCAAAGCGCGATACGACGTAGGGAACCTATGCACACTTCACGTGTTATACCCAGCCGTCCCGTTTCTAGAGCGTGGGCGCGTGAAACTTCGCGTCAGAAATTTCTATGTATCTATAGATATATTAACGCGTGTATACATATATATATAGACGCCGAAGGTAATAAACGTGTATACGTATCACGTACCGGAGAGGTGGAATCACCAATGAAGATTTATGTGGTACCTGGATGGCCAAACTCCGCGGACTAAATAACAATGATTTATAGAGCGTAAGCAAGAGAGTTACTTTAAACGGTATATGCTCGAAAAAAAATATAAAAATAAAAACTGTCATACGACCAATTTCTGGCCTGACTTTTCAATAAGAAAGACCAGATACGATCCGACGTTCCGTACTGGACTTTCTAGTATATTGATTTGGCTTCGTCAAAATTGTACTGGTTCCATGGGCATGCTGCGGATCGCCCAGAGGGTTTGATCTGCAATTAAAATTATTGTCTAGTGATAAGGTTACCGATGTACGTCATTTGTCGTATTAGTGTCTTGAGAAATCTTCGGGCTACGTGTCGGTAAAACAGCTGGAACGAATATATGCTTCGTTAGGGTCTCATAGAGAGTGTCCTCCTTGGAACTGGCCGATCGTACGTATGTATTTATTGGATTCGATCGAGATCAAGTATGTTCGAATTATCCGTAACGAATTTTTGGTCCGGAACAAAATGGCGAATTCAATGACGCAACATAGGACTATAAAGCGTGGCAGAGAAATATCGTGATCGTTATAATGGGAAACGATTTACGAATATATCGATATTGACGTGGTATCGATCTATTGGATATATCGATCATTTATTATTTACGTAATTCTCGTATGGTTGTCCGTATCGCGTCATCTGGTTATGCCGGTGCCTATAGCACTTTTGTAGATTAACCTAAATATTGCTGCATGGCTGCGTCACTTGATTCGGGGCCCGGTACGACGATTTGTTCAGGTCGAAAATCAATTTCGAAATTAAACTTCCTCCCGCCATTGGACTATAAAATCCCGCAATGATTTTTCTAAATTTTTTTTTTTTTTTTCTTTTATTCTCAATATAGGTACAGACGCTTGGGCAACCGACAAACGGACCGGAATCACGCTTCGATGGACCACTAGTATATCTCACGCTATTGTCTATAATAATGTTGCAAGGGGTTGTCTTCGGAACACTATACCTCTTGTACCGAGCAGTACTATACACCGTGGAGTTTATGCCAAGAAACGTACTGCAGGTGTATCGTGAAAGAATTAAGAAAGTTATTCACCGAGAATTATGGGCCAGTGGCCATGTTTTAAATATCGTTCAGAAATCATTTCCAGATCGTGAATGGCGAAGAATGAGAATTTTTTTTTTTTTACAAAATTATTAAGACCATCGATTTCGACATTACCGGATCTACTGGTAAGTCGTAAAAAAAATTGTAGAAACTGGTAATTCGTCTCCGCGTACATTTATAGGGTAATAACGAAACGGTGTCTTTTTATAGAAAAATTGCAGAAACGATGAACCGTGATTTTGGGGAAATTTTTTTTTTCTCCGGTACACCCGGATCATTGGTAAAGATGAAACGAGAAGATTTGTCGTTAGAAACTAGTGGAGGTCGTTAAAGTTTATATAAAATTCATTAATTAGAAGTGATTGGGTTCCTTTATGTAGGACGCCATATAACAGATAATTCGATAAGACGTCACACTGATCCACCTCGCGGCATCATTGTGGACGGATGTGTAGAAAGTAGCGAAGAAACTTAATCGTGAATTTTACAAGATCCATATCGCTCCGAGGACTAATAATAACAATTTTATGAAAACCACTATAATGATAATTGGGAACGATCTTCTCTCGGACGTATCGGGCGAGTCTCTTAAGGGCGTATAAATCGAGGCTCGATTTTACAGGCATCGTTTAATGACTCGTTGGCATCGACCTTTTATCTCGCATAAAGAAGAGCTACCACATACTCGGGTTCGTAAATTCGAGATTCCCCTTCTTAAGCCATCCTGCATATATATCCATAAACTTATCCGGAATCGTAAAATTCTACATAGCCACGTATACGGTAAACCTATTTTCACCCGACCTTCTCCCTTCTCTCTTGGTTTCACGTACCTTTTTTGTCCTCTGCCCAAGAACAAATTCATAGAATTCCAGAAAACCAGCTTCGGGATGACCGAGTTCAAGGAGTCACTGCAGTACGGGTGTATATATAGATATAACGTGTATTGCCATGCGTTCGATCACGTTCGATCACGGAAACGGACCATTAGCTTTTTTTTTCCAAAGTAAAAGCGCATCGTAGACCGAACAGGAAAAGTGATCTAAAACGAATGACCAAACGGAGAAGAGAATACTAAAAAAAAAAGGCACCCAACAAACTAAAGATAGACGTTACACGACTTTTTTTAACCTGGCCCAAGATCTTGAGAAGTGAGATTGTCCATGAATTATGCGTAGATCGTTAAATTAGAAATATGAAACCAGTCTAGACTCACGTCCGTGTATTCGGGCCTGTACGTATCTAACGTACGCTGTTAGATAAATATACTATACCGCCAGGTTAGTGTTCGTTAAACGACTGAGGACTCTAGACAAGAAGGCCTATCACTTTCAAATTTTCCTGACCTACCTTAAAAACTCCCAGCTATCCCACATACGACCAGGCTCTAGATCCCTACCGGTTAGTGGAGTCACGAGGACGTAATTTCCAGTGATTACAAGATGACTTTTTCGGCCGATCTGATCTCTCTGATCTTGCTCGGTGTGGATGTCCCGATCGTCCACAGTGTTATCGGACGTTTCCTGCGGGTTGGAAGCTGGATAAAAATATTGAAATCCATATTTTCGTTGGAAGGAGACTGGCGAAAGCCTCGACGCATCAGCACGCGGAACATTAATGCATTATATTATACTTACATATGCGATAAGATTGCGAGATAATTTTCAAGAAATTCTTTTTTTGTCTCCTTTCCACGCAGCACTAGAAAGGTCCAATCGGAGTCATTGACTATCATCACAGAGTAATCATGATGCGTGATACCAAGAGAAGGACAGCCCGGAGCACGTCCTCCGAAGCAATAACGAAGTTAATATGAAAGCAACTAGAATAAGCAGAAGGTAATGAAATATCTTGTCGCTGGACCGAGCTCGTCGAACAGATCACTTTACATCTCCATTTACATAGGATGGGCTAAATAAGAAAATTATTCGCACAGTACCAGATCCCATATAAAAATTTATCGATGCCAAAAGGCATCATGGATCGATATCCTGCCACGTAGAGAATATGAGAATTCAAATTTCGCGGGCTAAAAGGTAACGCTCCTAGCAAGGGTCATACGCGTCATCAACGATCATTAGCCGAGTCGTGAATTTCAGACCACTAAATATTAAGTTCGAACCAAAATCCAACCCCCCGTCAGGTCTGGCAAACCTAATCAATTCATGTCCTACCATCCATTAATCGTTCTTAATCGTAATCCAGCCGTACGGTAATAATCTCAAACTATTCGCACCGTTACGAACTCTCGTAAACGCTAGAAACACAATTTCACTCGCATTTGCCAGGTACGATCTATCATCCTTGCCGACGTCTACGATACATGAAATTTCACGGTGCTGTCTCTCTTGATTAGGGAATTTGTTGAAAGTCCATAACACGTCTTCTCCGTGTCTTTCGTACCGGGCATGACTTCCCCTAGGTTATACATAACCTACAAAGGCCTATTTGGCATTTCGGTACGGCAGCTCGTTCGAGCGGTACACTTATTTTGCTTGTCGGCTCCTTATAAAATCTAGGGATAATTCCGAATACGGGTGTAACTAGATTGTTACCATAGCCATCCCGGTAACGTTACCGACGGCGCTATTGTTTCGCCGTTCAAACCCACGAACTCTGTACAGACGTATATATACCTCGTATACGAAAGTGCAGAAACCGATAGATATAGTTATAGGGCTCCATTAAAAAGTATAACCGATCACTAAAGTGTGACAAGAAAAATGTACTATCGCGTCCGTGTACACTAATGCTTCTTATTTTTGACTCTGGGCATTCCATTGTTCCCGCCGTTTCATGCTTGATGACGCTCCGTGACAATAGACCTGTTGTCGTTGCGATATGGTATACCTATAACCTAACCTCGAAGTACATCGTATTCCATAGACACCTACTCATGGCATTATAAGCTCACGATTAAACTAGACAAAAGTATATCCTAGGCGCTATGACGACGTGGCGACTATTATAACAAGTACAGAGGCGATCTTGGCCACTTGGAAATACTTTATCGTTATTATTGTTATACAGTGTATAACTGTTCGATTCTCAGGCGTGGCTGAGCAAGCACAAAGGATCGAATGTCTGGTATGGTTCAACGAAGAAATACAAGCCTCGTCTAGCCGTTTTGCTGATCGTCCCTAGCTATGTATATTCTAGGTATATAATATAGATATATTATATGAACAAAATAGGTATAGTACGTGTATATACGTAGTTACGTGGAAAAATGGACGTATAAGAAAATCAGCATAGTTACGACCACCGTAATTATCATATAGTTTCCCATTATGTTTGCTTCGCGAAAACTATAAAGACGTAATTTCGCTATCAAAGTCATTAGCGATATCAGGATCGGAATTATTCTTCGTTCTCGTCCTGTAGCTGGTTGTAAACTTGCAGGACGAGCAAGCGGGGCGCGCACGTGCTGTTATTTCGAAAATGAGACTTGAGAAACATCAAGGCTTGTTGCAGCTGGTCATTGATACAAGGCACGTACGTATATATATATATTTATTTTTTTGTAATCTATATATATATATATATATATATAAATGGTATTCATCATTGGCAGTCGTATAAATGATAGATAATTTACAAAGAAAGATTTATACGTACAAAGTTAACGATATTCATTGAATTCACCGACATTTAGAAAGGCGTCTTCATGGTTTACACCTGTCGTTATATATACCCGGTGTAAGATTGGTATTATAATATACAAATGTACATAGCTCCAGATGCAAGCAAGTGCATATAGGTAATGAGCGTGTGTTAACCTCGGGGTGATTGCATTAGTTATTGGTCACGGTCCGATGAAGATGCGCCCAAGAGTTCCCATCTGTGCATAATAGACATATAGGTATGCATAAAGACGGGTCGCTTCCTTTTACCAGCCGGCATTGCTTTTCCGCGATTTTTACCTTTTCTTTCGACAAGCCGCCCTTTTTACTTTATTTTCAGCGCTCTCGAGACCTACTTAAGAGATCGACTTATGAGAGAGCCGCTCCTTCGGTGGCCTATACGATTCCTCGTATTCCGGCATGCTGGGTGTAGCCATAGTTTCTGGTCACGTATAATTGATTGTTCGTCACGGGACACTGTGGTATTCGTTGGTCTCAATTTATATATTGCTGTCTACGAGTGCATCACGTGCCGGGACGAGACACGGGCGAACTCGCAAATTGCCATATCGGGGGCCTGAAACCAGAGGCAGAGTTTACGTTTAAAATTTTTAGTTTAACCGTTATGGTCGAAAACACGTCAAAGTTGAAAATTTGAAAATGGAGTAATGGAGAATTGGAGATCTCAATTGCTTCGTTGTGTCTGAATTTCGTTTGCGGGAAAAATTTTATTTTTAATTCAAGTAACACGTGCAGACAATCTTTACGAGATCTGCCTATGAATTATCGAAGGAAATGGTGTCCGTTGTTTGTACCTCTGATTGCTTTTATAAGCTTTACGCTTGATTTGCTTATTGTTCATTCCAAGTCCAAGTGCACGGACCTGTCGCGATTGCCTAGACATGATTTGGTATTGAAAGGCCAAAGGTTGCTCTCTTAATGGAGCTGTAGAAATGCGGTTTGTACGTTTCTATAGGCGTGTTACAATGTTTAACAAACTTATCGTTAGTCCGTTTATTAATAGATTTACGCGAACGTATATACAGGGTGGCGCGAGTAAAATTATTCGAGTCAATTGCATTATTACGTTGCGTAAGCATAATTTCGAAATTTTTTTTCTCAAAAATTACGAATTTTTTCTCGTCGGTTCTTGTCGTATGAACGTTCTGGAGAATGTATTTTGGCGAATTATTTTTGAAATTGGGATATTTCGTTTTTTACAAATTATTAACAAATTTTTGAAAAGTTTATGGTTAAGGTTGATAAATTAATTTTTTTAAAGTCAATAAAACCCACCCTTTATTAAATGCTCCTTGTCGTTAGCGTTGGCTCGTAACCTAATGTCGTTTATCATCATTAAACCCAGAGTCAATATATACATGTATATTTCACTTTAAATATAATTATGATAATGGGGGCAAAACGCCAGGAGCGTGATAGA